GATTAAAAGTATATTTCAGGGGGGTATATACTGAGAAAGAATGTTGTCTCCCAAGCATGGGTTTGTTATTAAGGCAGATCCTCCCGAGCACACATTAGATTTTATTAATGATTCACTTATACTTGAGTCAAAATGATCAGCTGTTTGTTGTATACAGTTCAGTGGTGATGAATGAGGCATGTCAATTATAGGAACATTTCCAACCTTTCTATTAGGTTGACATGTCAGCATATATTACTGTTTCAGTTTGACGCTCTCAGTTCCTTTACTGAGATATTCCCTTTATGTGGTTTTACGCCAGATGGATCTCTTGAGTCTTCAGACAGGCATTCATCTGGATCGGTTCCTCAAATACTATTTCATAATGGCTCCAATGATCAAAAGACAAACAAAGAAAATCATTGGATTGTTTGGTCTGAGTCCCTGTTGTGGTATTTTGTCGGCAAAACCCTGTCCTCACATTTGATTTTGTTTTGTATACAGCTTTAGTTCTTGGTTTTAGTTGCAGAGCGTTAACAAGCTTGATCTGCCGTATGGTTATAAAACAGTTAGAAGTCCTGTCCCCCAAGTCTTTTGTGTGTCATTCACATAATGACAGAACATTTTTTTATATGGATTGTAGTTTGAGTCATTCCCGTTGTTTTTAACTCCTAACTAATTACATTCATTGCCATAAGTCTGGGAGGTGATGCTTTGATGGTTTGGGACAATTGTTCCCTTCAAGCTGAACAGCTATCTCCCAGCAAAGCATACTGTCATATTTTTTTAGAAACATATTTAGAGAGTATTTGGACTGGTCAATCGTGAGCATCTGTGTTTCTCAGCCTTCAGAGAGACTCCGCGGTGGATCATCCATCATTCCTAAGAGGACAAGTCAGTGTGAAGAGCTGCCAGAAGACTCCTGCACACACGCCCTTTGTGTTTGAGTGAATTGTGTAGTGTTTACTGTCTTCTGTTTTGAGCTGGTTTCAATGGTTAGCACATGTAGAGTCCGGACACATTGGGGAAAGCTGTTTCAATGATCCCAATGTTTAGAAAGGTTTAGAAAATCTGAGTATTAAATCAATGTCAGGCTGTGTTTTCTGCTCCAAGCAATCAGTCACCGGGATTCGTCAGGCCAAGCAGATTCTGAAGATGCTCTTTCTGTTTCCCCATTTCAGCTAATGAGCATTCAAGTATAGACAAATACACTTCTGTCAACCATCAATTTAAGATTTGCAATCCTTGTTTGACTTTAGTTCAGATCAGATGACTGATATTGTGATCGATTAAGCTACTCCACTGGCATGGCTGAAATTGTAGTATTCAGTAGTCACACTTTTTGGACAGTTCAGTCAGATTTGTAAAATGAATGGATCTTTTCAGTTTCTATGCCTACATAAATAAATATGTCTGACTGAGACTAATTGAAAGTTATTTTAATAAACCTCTGATGTAGAAAATATATTCACATCAAATTATGTTCAGCACATAGTGTCCATTTCTCTGGATAAGTGTACCTTTTACAGTTCTTTATGCTGAAGGAAAATAAAACGTTTTATACACAAAGAATAACTTGGCATAATGACAGATATTGTGGGATGCATATATGAATACATTATGATTAAAAGATATATAAAACTCAAAGGGCCTTTTATGAAGCTCGGAATTAAATGTTCACAGCTACATTAGGAATACTGTGATAGGATTCTTCAACAATCCATTATTGTACAAAGGACAGTACTGAATTAGCTAATTGAGCCCACAATGCAGCCTAACCTAATGTGGAGAAAGAAAATAAGGGAATTATGTTGGACAGAGAGGATATGGATTAGTCTTGTAAGTCCCCATTTTAATTACAGAGAATCAAGACAATGGAAGCAGACTGAACAGTGACATGTGTCAATAGAAGGGAGGATTCATTCATCTTCATTTGGACTATTACTGAGTTCCATTAGAAAATAAATACCACATTGATCCATGATAAAGTCCTTGAATAACAGAATGCAAATCACTGTCGAGAAAGAGGAAACTCAGTGATTACAGTAAAAGCTTTTCCCCCTAGAATCAGAAAGTTGTTTTCTACTCTACTCAACCAGACAATGGCGGAGAAGTTGATTGTTGTGTTTAACAAAATGTGGCAGTAGCCGCAGAGGGGAGGATAGGTGAATGTATTTGTTAAAGTTGGTTTGATTACACCATTCACAATTCCGACAACGCCACCTTGGGAGTTTCACCCAAGGAAATATTAACACTTCTTTCAGTTATAGAGAGGACACATAGGTTTGAATACTAATGGAGCAAGAGACGCGGTTTCAAGTTATCAAAAATATACAATTTTATTTAGCACAAGTTAATAGTTAAAATGCAGTTAAAAACAGTCGCACAGGGCTGTAGCAAAAAAAGGGAAAAATGAATTAGGGGCTGAGGCTTACCAGTGGGGGGATAGGGTCGACGAGTGAGTGGAAGGATCCCCAAACAAACCAAACTTAAATCACCCCAGTCATACGTGCCGGAAATCAAATCCCGGGGGAGCACATCACACACAAAAGGAAGAGAGGAAAACCACCACCTTGGACACCAGCACCACCACCTTCAGCTCTCAGTAACTAAGTAGGGAAACAAGAGGGAAACGCAGTTAATGGGGGCTAAATACGTAAATCAAAGTAAAACATAAACACAATATCAAATATGTTCTCATAAGCAGATGATAACTTGTGTAAACATTTAAGTATAAAACAAATCAAAAGAGAAAAGGTTCAGTTAACCTGTTAAACCCCGAGCCTGTTTTTCAGGTTTCAGGCTCGAAAATGACATTCCCAGAACAAATGACCATATCTTCCCTTCTAAAAGGGTTAAATTAATAATCTTTTTTCTCAAAGTAATGATAAACCTGTGAGTTGGATGTAGAAAAGTCAGATTCAATATAGATGTTTTTATTTTAAAGAAAATTCAGATTGAACATGGTAAAAAACTGTAAATTATAGTGTCCGTCCAAAAAATATTTTGTACTTATAGTGAAAACTAACCTTGGATGATGGGTTAGTAGACTAAAAGCTTTAGGAATCCAAAGTACAACATATAATAAGTACCCTGTATCAAGATTGATGCAAAACAAGTGATATTTGACCTTTTTAGACAGATTTAGCAAAAAAAACCCTCTTCTGGGGCCATTTGGGTGGATTTTCCATATCTCTGGCCCCCCTTGCTCGATTTTGACATGTGACATCTCTTTCTGACAGTCAGAGCCAATGGAATCGAGGGGAACTCCCACATAGTCCTTATTTGGTCATGTGTATGTGTGAGACTGCTGCATCGCCGAGACCGGAAGCAGCAGCTAGCTGTGGTGGCTACCATTAGCAGCTAGCATTTACGCTCCGATTTTTACATAAAAATGGAATTATGGATTATAAATTCAATCAGTTTTTTTATATATGGACGTTAAGAACCTATGGATTAACAGATTCATTCGCGTTTTTTCTCATTTTAATGCCATTGAACACATACTTTGATCAGATTGACAGCTACTTGTGAGACGATCTCCCTAGAAGCTTCGTAAAGGTACGTGTTGTGATGACTGTATTTGCTTCCCCTGTCGCGAGTCCGGATCACTCAGTGATGATACTATATACCTACATAATCTATGGAGTCTCAGCTTTAATCGGATATATTGTATGTGCAGCTATGATAAGTAATAAGGGTACTTTTATCTTGAGTTCTGTGCCAATGTCCGTTAGCATTTTTCGCTCAGGGGTAATTTAGATGCTTCTTGTGAGACTTGTGTTTTGGTAAACATGGTTTGTATCGGCAGTTAGCTGAGATTATTTCCGTTAATCTGGTATAACACATTAATAGGTTCTTAAATATTAAGATCCCCTGAGACACAGTATCGTGAAAAAAAGACCCAGGGTCCCCGCCGGCGGGGACCTTCGGGCTTAACAGGTTAAAATAAACAATTAACTAGAATAAAAGAAACAAACTAATTTAAATCAAGTTGGCCAAAGTAAGGACAAGTTATAGAGGGAGTTAGCCCCAGAGTTCAGTAGGCTTGTTTGAGACAAGCAAGACCTGCGCAGACCTGCGCAGTTGCGATCAACGTCTTGCTAGTGCGTTGCATGATGGTTAGTCATTTTGTCCGACTTGCTCTGGAGGCCCGCCCACATGAGACTTTGAAATTTCGCGGGACAAAGACGCCCGCAGCCTTGAGAGCGAGGCGAGTTGGCGCAGTTGCTCTCCACGGGCTGCGGAAGCGAAATGCTTGATGGGAAACGGCTCAACCACCACGTGCTGCTGATGAAACTCTCCAATTGGCTGGCAAAAGTTTGTTGTTGTTTTGTGTCAGTTTTACGTCGCCACATCCATTCCCATTTTTCATCATTGTTCCACAATGTTTATCATCATGAAATTAATATCTATATATTTTATACTATACTGCTTACCGTTTTCATACTTTATATATCTTAGCATATTCATACACACTGTTCATACTGCTCACAGGCTGATATCTAGTGTATTCATACCCCACTGTTTATTCATCATTCAATTCATTCTATATGTTATTCTGTAGATTGTGTACATTACTTTCCACTTCACTGCTTGTTGCACCTGGTTAGAAGCTAAACTGCATTTCGTTGTCTCAGTACCTGTAATATGTGCAATAACAATAAAGTTTCTCTTTAAGTTAAACCAAATCATTAAAATAAAATCTATTGTAATGTAATGATTTGGTTTAACCTTATTTATTGAATACATCATTTAAAATGGCAAGATTAAATCAAATTACATCCATGTTGTACACATCATAAAGCTTAAAGTGGCAGCTAAAGAATTAACACAGCAGCAGGTCTGTTCAATTCATGCTCATTAAGCTTCATGTGTGCAGATCTGAAGGGACTGATCATTTGTAGCCTGTCCACCTATCAGTTTTGCAAACATTAAGAGGGAGGAGCATTTCTAATTATGGAACCCAGTCACTGGTGTGGTTCATCATCATGACTGAATTAACAAACCTATATAAAGCAATGGATATCACCTTTGTCTACAGTGGGTAAAATGGAATTTGTGGTGCTTACACCAGTGGCGTAGCCAGGAATTATTGTGTGGGTGGGCCTGGAGAAATGTAGGTGGGCCAGGGGGAGACATATTAAGCGTGGGGTCTGAGCTGAAACTTCATTAATGATTTTAATGATTTTTTAATGCACTAATAGAACATAAGCATAAATTAGCAGTGAAAACAAAAAACATAGGCACGGCGGCCTCAGAATGTGTGTAAAACTGACATCCACATAGGATACACAACGGTACTACTACTTTTATCGATAGCGCTTATGCTTATGCTCCAGGTTCAGTACCAACCACATCATAAAGTACGCGGACCATACAACAGTGGTGGGACTCATCAGGGACAACAACGAACAGGCCTACAGGCAGGAGGTGAAACATCTGACAGACTGGTGTAACACCAACAACCTGATCCTGAATGTCAATAAAACAAAAGAGATCATTGTCGACTTCAGGAACAAAAAGCACTGTCACCCACCACTCCACATCAACGGCACAGCAGTGAAGACTACAGACAGCACCAAGTTCCTGGGGGTGCATATCACAAGCAGTCTGACCTGGTCCACTCACACGACATCACTATGTAAGAAGGCACAGCAGCGCCTACACTTCCTGCGCAGCTCCCCCTTCCCATCCTGACCACGTTCTACAGAGGAACCATAGAGAGCGTGCTGACCAGCGGCATCTCCATCTGGTCGAGAGACTGCAACGCCAAAGACTGGAAGTCTCTGCAGAGAGTGGTCAGGACAGCAGAGAAGATCATCGGAGTTTCTCTCCCTCCCATCAGAGACACCGCTCAGAAACGCTGCCTGACAAAAGCCCAGAACATTTTGAAAGACCCCACTCATCCTCACCATGCTCTGTTCTCCCTGCTGCCCTCCGGCAAGAGGTTCTGCAGCATTAAGAGCAGAACAGCCAGATTCTCGAACCCGGTGCATTTCTCCGTCTGAATGTGGTGCACTTTTGCTAAATGTTTAAACAAATTGCTCGTGTTACCGATCTTACATGCTAAACTCTTATTCCACTTTTGGTAACGAGTATTGTCCACATCGACACGGCTATAGTTTAACCACACCTCGGAGCGCGTTCTCTCCGCCATCTCCTCCGTGTGTGTGTGTGTGTTGCTGCATGTAGCAGCTGCGTGTGTGTAAACTGCCCCGCCCCCTCGCTCATTCACTCACGGCAAAAGTTACTTTACTTACTATAAAAACTCACGGTAACAAAATGCACTCCCTATTCCATTGTCATGAAGGTGGAATCTAACTATATCCAGAATAAGTTTTATTGGATCCAGGCTAGAAACATGTTTATTTCTGCTGTAAAGTTGTGCATTTTAACATGGGGGTCTATGGGAATTGCTCCTTTTTGCATCCATCCGGCGGCCACTAGATGAACTGCAGTTTGTGGCACTTCCTTCTGGGCTTCCCGGCTCTGCGCTATGAAGCGCTGATTGGCTGTGGGTGGGCCAGACGTGCATACAGCTACGCCACTGGCTTACACTGTGTGACGAACAGGGAGACATCACTGTAAGAGTCTCACAAGACATTTCCCAAAGACTACAAAATGGTGAGTAAACAACTAAATTGCATTCCAACAATCTGGATATGATTTTAAATGATGTAAATTATTTTTCAGATAACAGTTTAGCAGCTGCACTTGTGCAGCAAGCAAGGGCTGCAACAAATGCACAAGGTAATCTATCATTTAAATCAAAAATGGTATTGTCTTTTAATGCAAATCAAACAAATGACATATTCATGTTTATTGTAAACAAATATTTAATTTTCTCTCAATCACAGTCCCTTTAGATCTGTCTTCAGATGCTAGGCCTGCTCCTGAAAGGCCTGCTCCTGATGAAATACCTGCTCCTGACAAAAGGCCTGCTCCTGATGAAAGACCTGCTTCTGACAAAAGGCCTGCTCCTGATGAAAGACCTGCTCCTGACGAAAGGCCTGCTCCTGATGAAATACCTGCTCCTGATAAAAGGCCTGCTCCTGATGAAAGACCTGCTCCTGACGAAAGGCCTGCTCCTGATGAAAGGCCTGCTCCTGTAAGGCCTGCTCCTGTAAGGCCTGCTAGATCCCAAGCTGGCACTCCTCACCTGGCATCCCCCTCCAGCCGGTCAGAACACCTTGAGGCAACACAAGGTACAGTAACTAAAATGAGGATCTAAACAGCAAATGCTATTTGTTTGAGTTACTAACACTTGTGTCTTAACAGATTTCACACACAACACCATACTGCTGCTTTTGGACCTGACAAAAACACACCAACAGGTGTACTATCACTCCAAACCCGGTTTTTACAAAATTCTACAACGGCAGTTCAGCAAGGAGGGATACAGTTTCTCCTCAGACAAAATCCGGAAAAAACTCAACAACCTTTTGACCACCTACAAAAGGGCCAAGGACCGTTGTACCTCAACAGGAGAGGGGAACATAACGTGGGAATATTATGGGGTAAGAAGTTTGTTCTTGCACATCTAGTTGGTAAAAGCAACATTTCCATTTGAACAATTCTGCAATTCCACAGATAATGGACAACCTGTTTGGGAGGTGCGGTGTTGGGAGCGCACCTCCAGGCACTCTTGTTTCCACCCCTCTATTACCCACTGCCTCACAACCATCCACCACACTGCCGTGTGCCTCTGAGGCCCAGCCTGGTCCCTCCATGACCCTGCCCACCACACTGCCGTGTGCCTCTGAGGGCCAGCCTGGTCCCTCCATGACCCTGCCCACCACACTGCCGTGTGCCTCTGAGGGCCAGCCTGGTCCCTCCATGACCCTGCCCACCACACTGCCGTGTGCCTCTGAGGCCCAGCCTGGTCCCTCCCCACCACACTGCCGTGTGCCTCTGAGGCCCAGCCTGGTCCCTCCATGACCCTGCCCACCACTCAGCCGAGATCAATCCGGTCTCGAGTCTCCCATCCCTCCTTCTACGACCTGTATGAGGCCCACTCGGAGAGGAGGACCAGTGCACTGGAGACACTGGTGCGGCCAGAACAGGAGCGCCGGAGAAGGCTGAAGGAGAGAAATAGGAGGAGGTTTGAAGCTAAAATGTTGACTGCGATGGGAGAAGTTGTTTCCCAGTTAAAGTCCATTGGGAGCCAACAAGAGCGCATCATTGAGCTTTTGCAGGACAAGCCCAATATGCCATAATTTCCCCCACACTGGGTATTCCCTGAATTAATTTGTTTATAAAGAACACCACCTCAGTATGTTTATGGAAGTAATATTGTTTAGATTAGTTATTTATTTTCCTAGTTATGCAGTTGAGTTATTATTTCATCCCTGGCAATTGCCTTGTAATATTTGTATTTGTATACACCAAGTGTTCACAATGTTTATATGCAATTATTATTTATTTGCCAAGTACATGTGTATATATAGTTATTTCATTTTCAAAGAAGATAGTCAACTGCTATTGACATGTGCAGAAAATGACCATATCTAGTTTTCATATATATGCATTTATTTTTTACTTGCCCAATCATTTTGGATGACATTACATGTTACTTGTTAGGCGCTTTAATCCAAAGCGACTTACATACTCAATACTGTGGGCATAAAAGGAAAGGAAATAAAAAACAAATGTCTTCCACAAAGAATATGACAGTGGTTATTTGTGGGGGGGGGGGGGGGGGGGGGGGGGGGTGTGTGTGTGTGAGCTCTTTAAAAAAGGTCACAAATCTGATTTCTGTGCAACACTGCATCTTGGTTCTGGGGATGCGGTGCCCTGTTATCTGCTGCTTCAACCTGTTCATCAACTTCAATTGCTTCCCCTTCCTCCAAGCACATGTTGTGAAGTATGCAACAGGCAGTGACTGCTGTGCTAATGTTTGCAATGTTTTTCATGTACAAACATTTGAGCCTCCTGAACTTCGTTTTCAGTAGGCCAAAGGTATGCTCAATGACCACGCGTGCAACATTTAATTTTTGATTGAAACGACGCTGCCGAGCAGTTAAATGGCCATTGTCCCTGTATGGCCTCATAAGCTGAGGCAATAGTGGGTAGGCAGAGTCCCCAATGATGTGCATTCCCTCAGGCACCAGGGACTGGGGATCTTCATCAAGCAGCCTTCCAACAGCAGACAACTGGAATGCCCGTGCATCATGCCAGCTACCAGGGTGGCCCACATTAACATGACAGAATCTCCGTTTACTGTCACAGAACCCAGTAAGCACAACAGAATAAAACTGTTTTCTGTTGATGTATGCTACTGGGTTCTCACAGTGTGGTTTCACAATAGGAATGTGGCATCCATCTACCGCACAGACAGTGTTGGGAAATCCTGCTGCACGAAATCCTAACTCAGAATTATGTAGGGCTTGCCCTGTGGGCCAGGAAATGTGGTGAGACAAATATGTGGTGACAAGACTACAGAATTCATGGAGATGCAGGCAGACAGTGGATTTGGTGATATTGAAACGATCAGCAACCCCCCTATAGGACTCCTGGTTTGATAGAGTCCACAGACAGGCAAGAACACTGTTTTGAAGCGGCACTTTACTGTGCTGTCTGTTCCAGTAGAACGGGCCAATAGTCGTCATCACATCCTGTTTGGTAGAAAGGAATAAATGGTTTTTAATATCACCAGTCCAGATAATACATATTTGATGTTATTTATATATATATATACACACACATACTTCCACATGTCCCCTGGACAATCGGAAATGACTTTTGAAGTCTGAAGGACTGTACTGTGGGACCACTTCTTCCACAAATTGTTGGACCTTTGGAACGGATCTAAGGAAGGCAGACACAGGAGCAAATGATGACCATAAATCATTAGACCTATTCAACATTCTTTATATATATATATATATATATATATAACTGCTGCTGCTGCTGTAGGCCTATATTATCTTCACTTGATTTAAGTTGTATTCTTGTTTATTTATTGTATCTTTGTACTACTATCTTGCTTGCTTTCTATATCTTTAGTAAAGTAGCTTTTATCTTATCCCATTGGACTAAAAAAGACTAATAGTGTCATAATTTTGCACAATTTGTGATCTGTAGAGTAAAGTAATCAGTCCAGATAATCGATCATACTTTTTAATTTAGACTGATGCAACAATATATTTTGTCTTTTTACTTGTGTATTGTATTGTGTATCTGTTTTTGTTACCTGCCTAGGTAGCCTACTACGGATGTAAATTAGCACGTTTTCTCAAACACATTTATACTTCTTGTATTTTATACTGATGTTCATTAACATGCTCTGTCCCTATCAAATTAAAAAATAAAAAGATACGTAATTACCTCCGCAGACGGTGTTCATCATGCCATTCTCCATACAATACATGTGGGATTTCTATTGCATCCACTTCATCTGCAACGAAAAACGCCAACGCAATTTCCGCCATTGCAAACCCAGCCAGTCAAGCCGACTCCGACCTGTCCGACTTAAGACGAGCTTTTTGACACCTCCCCCGGCTGCGATCGGCTACTCTCGTCTACTTTCGAGGCGAGCCGCAATGTGTCTCAAACAAGCCTAGAGACTTCCACACTTCGAGTGTCGGCCCAAGCGAGGCAGCAGGAAGGTGTGCAGTTAAAGCAGCACTTTAACTGGTGAGCGAGCCTCCGCAGTAGGCGACGCAAAGCTGGCCAGAAGCAGCAATCAGAAGCCACAATGTGGTAACGGTAGCCCAAACATCTAGGCAGGATCAACAGCAGTTGTGACGTTACTGCCGATAAACATACTTTCTCCGGTGAAGCAAAACAGCAGATGTCCCTTAACCATTGGATTGGCCCTAGGTTGATGAATAAATACAAATACAGCATTAATATCAATAAAAGTAATGAGGTGGATTGACCAAATAGATTGCCGTACAGCGCACATACCGATCAGGCTTTCCTATCGATAACGCAGAGAGGGGAAGCTTCATGCTTTGTATGGCTGCGTTGACAGGCTGCACCTGGAGGATCCTCCACTAGGTGAGGCAAAGCAGGGCTAAGTATCAATACGCTGGTAAATTAGTGATGGCAGTTTGACACTGAAGCTTCGAACGGAGCTTCAACCCTGGACTTCCTATTCCATAGAAGCAGTGCTTCGAAGCTTGCTTCAAATCACGTGACATATGACGTCCGAAGCAGCAACTGCTTCAAATCACGTGACATATGACGTCCGAAGCAGCAACTGCTTCAAATCATGTGACATGTGACGTCCGAAGCAGCAACTGCTTCAAATCACGTGACATGTGACGTCCGAAGCAGCAACTGCTTCATTTCCTGAATAAATCACTTGACTGGTTCGCGGTCCATTCACGCGATTCAATGCACTGCCTCGTCTCGATTCTGACAGGTGACAGGTTGAAACAGTTTCAAATTTGAGCGCTTCAACACTTTATGACCGCTCTAAACAATGCGCAATGTGTGGGTTGTTGTCGTAGTTTGCGTTGTTGCTGTTGGTATTGCATTGGATCACTATAGAGCAAGCCAGGAAGAAAGATAGGTCGTTCTGGCTCGGGAAACACTTCGAAATGTGGAGAAGTTGTGAACAAAAAGACAATTATCAGTAATATAAAAACAGTTCAATATTTTCAGGAATAGATAGCCCAGTGGGTACAGCCGGCGGCCCGAATGCGGCGATGTCCTCCGTAGCTGGTTCAAAGCCCGGAATGGATGTATTTTAATCATTGCTTTTCAACTTTAATAACTGATAAAAGGCCCTCTCCTCCCAAAAAAATGTCCAGCACTCTCTAGTCTCTTCTCAATAACCCAATACACACAATTATCAATCTTTAATTGCAAATAGAACATGATATTCAGTCTTAGTGTGTATGTATCGAATATTTTTCAAGGCAAAGATACGTTAAACCCACTGCAGCCTTGCACTTCGCCAGGAGAGGTCGCTGTAACTGAAGCTTCGAGAAATGAACCTATTTCCGACACAATTGTCCAAGTGGTTTAATGCTTCATTCAAAGCTTCATTTTGCCATCACTATGGTAAATTGCAAAACCTTTCCTGAAGCAAGCAATGCTACTGCAACATACCTGCACCGGTGGCGGAAGCAAACACGGCAAACACGCAAGTGGGGCGGGTCTGTGTACCAACAAACAAGAGACAGCCAGCTAGAAACCTCTGCTCTTTTATAGGGTGCCCCTGGTGGTGACATGCTCACAAGAGCCAAACGAGGAGAATATGCTTTACAAAGGATTAGGACTCTCATCCTGCCACAAAAAGTATGTTTAACTGTTATTACACTGAACAAAAATATAAATGCAACACTTTTGTTTTTGCTCCCATTTTTCATGAGATGAACTCAAAGATCTAAAACATTTTCTAGATACACAAAATAACCATTTCTCTCAAATATTGTTCACAAATCTGAAAAAATCTGTGATAGTGAGCACTTCTCCTTTGCCGAGATAATCCATCCCACCTCACAGGTGTGGCATATCAAGATGCTGATTAGACAGCATGATTATTGCACAGGTGTGCCTTAGGCTGGCCACGATAAAAGGCCACTCTGAAACGTGCAGTTTTGCTTTATTGGGGGGGTCTGGTGGGGGTCCGAAAACCAGTCAGTATCTGGTGTGACCACCATTTGCCTCACGCAGTGCAACACATCTCCTTCGCATAGAGTTGCTCAGGTTGTTGATTGTGGCCTGTGGAATGTTGGTCCACTCCTCTTCAATGGCTGTGCCAAGTTGCTGGATATTGGCAGGAACTGGAACACGCTGTCGTATACGCCGATACAGAGCATCCCAAACATGCTCAATGGGTGACATGTCCGGTGAGTATGCTGGCCATGCAAGAACTGGGATGTTTTCAGCCTCCAGGAATTGTGTACAGATCCTTGCAACATGGGGCCGTGCATTATCATGCTGCAACATGAGGTGATGGTCGTGGATGAATGGCACAACAATGGGCCTCAGGATCTCGTCACGGTATCTCTGTGCATTCACAATGCCATCAATAAAATGCACCTGTGTTCGTCGTCCATAACATACGCCTGCCCATACCATAACCCCACCACCACCATGGGCCACGCGATTCACAACATTGACATCAGAAAACCGCTCACCCACACGACGTCACACACGCTGTCTGCCATCTGCCCTGAACAGTGAAAACCGGGATTCATCCGTGAAGAGAACACCTCTCCAACGTGCCAGACGCCATCGAATGTGAGCATTTGCCCACTCAAGTCGGTTACGACGACGAACCGGAGTCAGGTCGAGACCCCGATGAGGACGACGAGCATGCAGATGAGCTTCCCTGAGACGGTTTCTGACAGTTTGTGCAGAAATTCTTTGGTTATGCAAACCGATTGTTGCAGCAGCTGTCCGAGTGGCTGGTCTCAGACGATCTTGGAGGTGAACATGCTGGATGTGGAGGTCCTGGGCTGGTGTGGTTACACGTGGTCTGCGGTTGTGCGGCCGGTTGGATGTACTGCGAAATTCTCTGAAACGCCTTTGGAGACGGCTTATGGTAGAGAAATGAACATTCAATTCACGGGCAACTGCTCTGATGAACATTCCTGCTGTCAGCATGCCAATTGCACGCTCCCTCAAAACTTGCGACATCTGTGGCATTGTGCTGGGTGATAAAACTGCACGTTTCAGAGTGGCCTTTTATTGTGGCCATTCTAAGGCACACCTGTGCAATAATCATGCTGTCTAATCAGCATCTTGATATGCCACACCTGTGAGGTGGGATGGATTATCTCGGCAAAGGAGAAGTGCTCACTATCACAGATTTTTTTCAGATTTGTGAACAATATTTGAGAGAAATGGTTATTTTATGTATATAGAAAATGTTTTAGATCTTTGAGTTCATCTCATGAAAAATGGGAGCAAAAACAAAAGTGTTGCATTTATATTTTTGTTCAGTGTATTTTGTACAAAGAAAGAAGGAAATATTTGTATTAATCCCAGTGGGGATTTCACTCTGGTGTTATATTACACACATCCTTTTTTATAAATAGTGTTCGTACACATAATCACACATGCTCAAACATTAGTGTGCACATGCTTTAGTGGAGAAGGGCCGACAGTCTTTCGGTGTCCGGAAACGTTGGGGATTCAGTGCCCTGCTCAAGGGTTGTTTTTTGGTCCGATCAGGAGTTAAACCGGCAGCCCTTCCGTTTCAGAGCACTACAGATACAGTACGTCCCTACAGATAAAGCTACTGCCACCCCGAATGTGATGTTAGACCAAGTCTTAGGTCTTACGTTTTTTAATCAAAAGGCCACACTCATAGGCTTAAACCAGGCCTGCCATCATAGAGTGAGATGTGACAACATATTAATTAATATGTGGGTAGAGTTGGGTACTTTCTAAGGCATCAACAATGTTGCAATCGGCTGTACACACAAACAATTGAAGAAATGTTTGACATCACAAATATTATAATTGAGCACACTAAAATACTGCTGTACCATTTTCAGGTTAATTCAAGATAGCAAACACGTTGATGAGTCGCAAAGGTAAAAATAAGACGTATTAAAACATTGAAGATGTATTAAAACAGATAGCTGAGCACTATTTCTAAAAGCCAATATCATACTATTAGAAGAAAAGGATCTGGATACCATATTTGAATACCATGTGTTAATCTGTTCCTGTGTGAGAACTGTTTTAACTTCACAAGGATGAGTTACTCTTCAGTAAATGAAAACTGCTATAATATGTACACATTGCCAAAAATCTATAATCAAACTGCCTCTCTCACACACACACACACACACACACATATCCCCTCCCTCTCCCTTGTGGCTTTAAGATACATTTGAATCTTAAAATAGTTTGCCGTGAATAAGTGCACCTGTGGTTGGCAGTGGTCAGTGCAAGAGAGTGATGACATGTTAAACACATCATTATGCCACAAGCAAATCAAGTGGAGACATTGCAATCACATGCTTTTCATACACCCTGCGGATCCCGCTGGCTGTGACAAATACTTTGTAGTAGAAAGATTATAGTTCCAATATTAATAATTTATGCTTTGCTGAAACTGGTAAACACATATACACATATACACACATATACATCAACATTGTCGGAGGGGTGCCAGTATTGCAAACGTAGTAAAAGAGCCGGATGTGTTTATTTTGAAAAGTTGAATGCATGCATCAATTAGTCAATCAACTGGTAATTTAGTGAAATTACCAACAATCATTGTATTAACTGTTGATCAAACAGCTACTCTTAAATATTTTAAATACAAGTATGTGGATGCTACTTACTTTTTACTCCGTTCTGTGCAGTTACAATCATTAACAATGTTTCATTTGATTACCAATACATAATTATCACCAAATTAGGCTTAAACGTAGGGCATTTCATTGTATTCTCTAATAATTAGAAGCTTCCTGAGAAGACAGCTTCCTGAGAAGACAGCTTTGGATGTTCTGTTCCCCTGTCGTAAAAAATAATTTGTATTCAATCAGAAAAAGCATTTTATGCTCCTCTAAAAAAAAAAACCCACATCTTTCCAGTCTAATTTTGAGAAGTCCAGAATCACCTTGGAAGTGACACCGTCTCCTTTTGGAGGCTAATTAGGGAAATGTGCTAGTATATCTTGCATCGTTTTTATATCTCAGCATAGCTTCTTAAGTCAATTACAGTTACCCTTCACATACAGTAAAGGCTGTAGGTCCATTTGTGCTCACACAAGGCTGCCTCATTCACATATTCACACATTCGCTATCTTTTGCACTCTGCACTGTAACACTAATGACTGATTTATAGCTCATTCATTATTACCTAGATGGTAAAATAAAAATGGAGGACATGGAAGATCTGTTTGCTTTTATATAATAAGTGATGTGTGTCACATGACAAGTTCATACCGTATACTGTGAATAAGTTGTCATCTCAGACAGAAAAACAAAACCGCTGTTTGTCACAGTCTACTTTCTGATTCACAGATGCTGCTAAGATGTTTAACAAAACATTTCAGGACGTCTGTCGACTTGTGGTTGAGGTGGAGTATAGAGCTGAGTAACTGACATTTTTGCACATTGAATTGAATCCCAGTGGAACAGCTAATGTGAT